CTAAAAAACCTCACACTCAAGAACACATTCCAAGAACAACCTAGCTTTATTTGTAAATTCCAGAGTTAAATGCTTGCTGTGACTTTTTGAAGGTGCTTCCAGAGCTAAATCTAAAAAACAGTGAATGCTAACAAAACAGTTAACAGGGAAAATGCTAAGAACAGTCCCTGTCCCAGGGAGCCAGCTGGGCACAGTGTTCTTCCTCCAAGGAACATAACACCTTTCCAGAAAAATAAAAAACAAGGAAAAGAAGAAGAAAAACACAAAAAAAAAAGAAGAAAAAAAAGAAACAAACAATAAGTTTAAAAGCATCAGTAAATAAAGCTGCCACTTGAAACGTTTCCAGCTTATTGGGAAGAAATTTACAAAAAGAAATTACAGATGAAAAGTAATTGCTGATAGGTTTCCTAGAATCAGGCCATCAGAACAGAAATGGGAAAAAAGCTCTTCTATTTACACTTACTCAGTTTTCAGAACCAGGTCTACATTGCCATCAGTTACACTGCAAGCTACATCTCTGCTGAATTAACTGGAGGCACAACAGGTGGGATGGAAGGTAAAATACAGCCACTGGCAGTCAGACAACTAACCACGGAGGCCAGGAGCCCATTTCCAACCCCGACCCACTTCGTGTGGTACATCCCCCTCTCTATTACCAGCCAAACACAGATCCCAGTGCTTCAAATACAATGCTCTCACCTGTGCTAGGGGTCTGTCTTTCCAAAAACACCTGGAAGGAAGGGAGAAAGAGGAAGAGAGAATGTAAACAGAACCAGTTCATGCCTTTTTAAATACCCAAGGTTTTTTTCTTTTCCAAAGTGCTACTGTATTTTGACAAAAGGTGTTTGAAAGATTTTCAAAACCTCTGGAGAAGTGAAAGACTATTATTTCCTTCATTTTATTACTGTTACTTTATTTGATTACTAGTCTTATCATTATCACCATTATTATTATTACTGTTGTTGCTGTTGCGTCTGAAGACAGTGAATTTGTACTTGAGGCACATCTTTAACCCAACGAGAGGAGGAGAAGATCCCGGCCAAGCTCACACTGAGGTTCCTGTGCGTACAGCCTCACACAGCTCAGAGGAGACAGCACAAACACACACACGCTTCCCTCTCCCTTCCATTACCTGACAGTGACTGGCACAAGCTTCACACGCTCGTGCAAAAGGTCTCATTGTACGAGATCTTGTTGTACGATTTGCAGGCTGTACTGGTGTGCTGGCCAGGGGTTTTGTGTGTGGAGAAAAAACTGAAGACATTGAGGATGCAGAGCTTCTTTCAAGGTTTTCCATCACGCTCTTCAAAAGAGCAATAATATCATGTAAACAAATACGAAAAAGCAGTATTTCAACCTTTACTATCTGGCATTATTATGTGGAATCATTTGGAAACCCATCTTCACATCTCCACATCTCAGAGTCAAAGGCCACGGGTAAACTGCCTGTCAGCACAGAGCAGCACCAAGCATTTTCCCCACCACAAGCATCGACACCTTGGGTTATGCCACCGCAAAGCAGTGGAAGCTTCAAATCTGGTCCCTGGCTGTACTAAGTGGCAGCCACGTTTGAAACAATACAGGGCAAATAAAGTAGTTGTAAGACTTGCAGAAAACCTCAAAAAATATCTTTTTTTCAGGCCACATTAAACATACCTTCGTAGCGTAACATACTCCTTTAAAAAGGTCTCAGCCCAGAGGGAGTGCCCCGGGGGGTGGCAGCTGACTCGGCTCAACACGAGGGGAACTGACCCATGGACCTACCAGCTCCTTTTAAATCACAAGCCTCAGCTCTCCTGTCAAAGCCATCCCATCTCATTGCCAATTGCAAGGAAGAGCTTCACAGACTCACGCCCAACCCTCAAGCGCATTAGTCTCCACAATCCTCTCTTGCCTCCAAAAACAGAGGTTCACTATTATGGGATTATCTATTGATATTTACAAGTGGATGCTGTCCACAAAAGACAGAAAATTTCAAAGCAACAAATATCACAGACCTGGCAAATACCATCTCAGATTGTTGCTCAGATGGTGTCACAGCTTTTAGGCATTTCAATACAAACTGGAGACCGAAACAGCAAAAAAGGGAAGAACAGACTGGAACACCTAACAGAAGCCCACACCATATACAGTAACCCATGCAAAGTGGCAGGGAATGGTCACTGACTAGAAACTAATAGCTCAGGATACAATTAGCCCAAAATACAGCCAGCCCTACCCCAACCACTACTGAAAGGAAAGGAACGTGGTTTGGGGGAGGCAGGGTGTCTTGCTAACAAATTCCCAGTCAAATGGACCAAGATAAACAGAAAAGCCAGAATCCCATGAAGAGAAGGACACAGAAAAAGAGGGACGAAGGACAAATAGGAGCAAGAACAGTCTTCATCTGCCACCACACATCTACAACAGCCCCTAGATGCCACCAGTTCCAGCCTGGGAGACTCTTTGAGCTCAAGTGTCTCCTCTCTTGCGGTTTCCCTTCCCATCTGGCACAGCAACACAACCCTGTGCACTAGCACTTCCCAGCAGCACAGAGGGTTCCACGCGTGACCCTTCTCAGCAGGAAGCCGTGTCCAACCCTTCAGAAAAACTCATGGCAGGTGCAGGAGACTCCACCTACTGAACTTCACTTCCCAGGCTTTGCAGTTCAAAAAGGCAAAGAATCAAAGATGTCGGGGCAAATAAAGAGGAAGCCCAAAAGCAGAGCACCTTCTGCTGAAATACAAGCAGCCGTTCACTTACTGTGTCTGTGCAGGGCCTGACACCAATCCTGATGCAGTCACCATAAATTCTTCCATCTTTGCTCAGGGCTTTCCGGGCTTGCAGCTTAGTCTGATAGCAAATATGCATCCAGTTTCCTATATTGGACATCTAGATGAGATTAAGGCTCAATTATGACATGCAGCCTTTTAAAGGAGGAGCCAGGACATTTCAACAAATTAATCCTTTCTGAAGGCTGATGCTACACGGGAACCCTAAGAAGAGGTTTTAAGGACACCCAAGAGAGACCAGCGCATTCATGGTGTTTTACAAGCAGCGACTTGAGGAATGGTCTCTTCTGGGCTATTTTACTCCACTGCATCTCAGTGGTGGAAGCTGCCTTCCTAACCTGACAAAAATAACAAGCAGCTCAAGGTCAGGGGCTTCGCTAACAGAGGTGCCTTTGCTGGCTTTAACCACAGCTGGATTTGCGGCAGAACCCAGGAATGCCAGACAACAGCAACGGCCAAGAACCTCTTCCCACACGCTGCCACGATTGCACCCCTGATTTTTCCAATATTTGGGAAATCCACTTACCCATACACAGTGACCCATCTCCCGTGACCTCGATCCGCTGACCAAAAGCAGAGCACCTTCTGCTGAAATACAAGCAGCCGTTCACTTATTGTGTCTGTGCAGGGCCTGACACCAATCCTGATGCAGTCACCATAAATTCTTCCATCTTTGCTCAGGGCTTTCCGGGCTTGCAGCTTAGTCTGATAGCAAATATGCATCCAGTTTCCTATATTGGACATCTAGATGAGATTAAGGCTCAATTATGACATGCAGCCTTTTAAAGGAGGAGCCAGGACATTTCAACAAATTAATCCCTAAGACATACCACATGCTTTAATATCTTTCCATATTGAGCAAACTGATGAAGAATGTAGGAAGCTGATGCTTGATTAAAACTGAATGACGGGGCGGGGGGGGGGGGGGAAAGGAAAAAGAAGAGGTTTTAAGGACACCCAAGAGAGACCAGCGCATTCATGGTGTTTTACAAGCAGCGACTTGAGGAATGGTCTCTTCTGGGCTATTTTACTCCACTGCATCTCAGTGGTGGAAGCTGCCTTCCTAACCTGACAAAAATAACAAGCAGCTCAAGGTCAGGGGCTTCGCTAACAGAGGTGCCTTTGCTGGCTTTAACCACAGCTGGATTTGCGGCAGAACCCAGGAATGCCAGACAACAGCAACGGCCAAGAACCTCTTCCCACACGCTGCCACGATTGCACCCCTGATTTTTCCAATATTAGGGAAATCCACTTACCCATACACAGTGACCCATCTCCCACTTCTCCCACTAGTCCTTCTCTCTCAGCCCTAGGTCTAGGGAGACACCTCCCCTGGTTGGCTCACCCACCGGTTGTGTCAGGAAATTGACTCCCACACACTGGAGGAACCTCCCCTCCTGCCTGCTCTCTGCTGTGCTGCATTTCCAGCAGGTAGCTGGCAGGTTGAAGTCCCCAACCAGAACAAGGGCTGGCGATTGAGAGACTTCAGCCACCTGCTTATAGAATACCTCATCTGCCTCCTCGTCCTGGTTGGGTGGTCTATAGCAGACTCCCAGCACAACATCTCCCTGTATTTGCCTCCCCCTTCATCCCTCAACTTTATCATCACTGCAATCTAGCTCTAAACAATCAAAACACTTCCTAACGTACATGGCCACAGCCCCACCTCTCCTTCCTTGCCTATCCCTCCTGAAGAGCTAATAGCCATTCATCCCAACTTCCCAGTGGTGACCATCATCCCACCACATTTCCGTGATGGCAACCACCTGATAGCTGTCCTGCTCCACAACGACTTCCCCCTCAATCAGGGACAACATTAGCATCCAAGGGACATTAGCCATGCTCCTGGACTAACCTTCCAATGTCATTTCACCAGAGAAGCGCAGCTGAAGAACACCGAGACCACCCTGCATTGGGAAGCAAATCCTGGAAATGGGTAGGACTGGATTCTCACCTGGCAAACACAGGACTGACCCACACTGAAATGCCCACGCAGATCCACACTGACACAGCCACAAAATCAACACAGTAACACTTACGTGTAGTTTCCAAAGGACTGGAGAAAAAGCTGCTCTCTTCCCAGACAAAAGAGACCTTTATCTCGAAGACCAGGAGCTTCCTTGAAACAGATGGTTACCTGAGGGGCTCACCTCCAACAGGCAACTTCAAGGGGGTGTGGTGGGGGAAGTTCAATTTAAGAAGAAAACAAGCATCATTCAGCCACTACCCTTTTGCTGGTTTTGGCTGCCTGTCCTGGTTTGAGCGACACATGACCGATTTCTCTTCTAATGCTTTGGAAGACTGCACTTTTAGAAGACTCTAGAAGTTTCTGAATTACTGAAAATACTTACTTTATAGCCAGCTGGGCCATGTGGGATTTAAGGTCTCCACAGTTTTAAGCCTTGCCAGCTGCAGGGATGAGGAGCAAGGCCTGAGCATCAGACCCAAGGCTGGCCAACAGGATTGTTTCATGCCATGAACGTGAAACGATTCCATTTAAATTAGGAATTTTTCTGCATAGTTCTCTCTCCCTTGATGGCAGCCATCCAGAGGACTTCTTGCCCCAGCACTAGACCCCCAAGGCCTTCCCTTCCTCCCAAAGCCGTAGTGGTCCACCTCTGACATTTGCTGCTCACTGCCCGAGCGCCTGGCTTCCTACTGATAGAACTGGCTGAATATAATCATAATTTATATTAGCATCAGGATCAATACTGGTTCCTTAATATTATCATTAATTATTTAGTCTTATCCTATTAAACCTGTTTACATTTCAACCCTTGTGTGGGGTTGGGAGGGGTCATGGGGGTGATAGAAAAATTGTCTCAACGACAATAAACTGTTATGAGTTTTCTCATACCACAGCTCTGGGGTAGAGTTAATTTTCCTCACAGCATTTTTGGGGCTGTGTTTTGGATTGGGGCTGGAAGCAGGGATGCTGTAGTCACTGCCCAGCAGGGCTCCCACAGAGTCAGGTCCTTTTCTGCTCCTCACACCCCCCCGCCAGCAAGTGGGCTGGGGGTGCACAAGAAGTTGGGAGGGGGACACAGTGGGATAATCCACACCATACAATGTCAGGCTTAAGTGTATAAAGCTGGGGGAGAAGGAGGAAGGGAGGGGACACATTCAGACTTACGGTATTTGACTTCCTGAGTAACGGTTACACATGATGGAGCCCTGATTTCCTGGAGGTGGCTGAGCACCTGCTGCCATTGCGAAGCAGAGAATGAATTCCTCATTTTGCTTTGCTTTTACGCACGGCTTCTGCTTTACCTGTTAAACTGTCTTTAGCTCAACCCACGAGTTATTCTCACTTTTAGTCTTCGGATTCTCTCCCCCATCCCACCGGGGGAGAGGGTGAGCAAGTGGCTACACGAGGCTTGTTGACAGCTGAGGCTAAACCCCAACAAGCTTGGAGAAAATTTCTTATAAGAGTGCTGAAATGAAATCATCATTGGTCATTGACACACTGAATTGTTCTACACAGTTACTTCAACTCAAAATTTCATAGCTTAGAATGCTACAGTAAAATGCTTTAGAAAAAAATCAGCAGCATCTGCTCTGCTGATCACACTTCAGCAAACATTCTGGGGCATCACACCAAACAGTCAGGAAAGAGGATTTGCAGTGCTCTGAACACAACTCACACCTGTTGAAAAAACAACCTCAGAAAAACTTAACTTTATTTAGCACTATGTATAAAACTAAGAGTTAAAAGGTTACTACGAAACCAAGAACTGATGCAAAAGGTACTTGTAAAAGAGCAATGAATGCTAACAAAAAAAAAATAACATCACAAATACTAAGAAGAGTCCCTGTCCCGGGCAGCCAGCTGGGAATAATATTCTTCCTCCAAGGAGCCCAACACCTTTCCAGACAAAAACCCAACCAAACAATTAGTTTAAAGGCATCAGTAAATAAAGCTGCCACTTTAAACATTTCCAACTTACTGAGAAGAAATTTACAAGAAGTAATTACAGAGGAAAAAAACACAGTGCTGATAGGTTTTCTAGAATCAGGCAGTCAGAACACAAATGGGAAAAAAAGCTCTTTATTTACACTTACTGAGTTTTTAAAACCATGTCTACATTGCCATCATTTAAAGTGCAAGCTACATCTCTGCTGAATTAACTGAAGGCATAACAGGTGAGATGTAAGGTAAAACACTGTCACCGGCAGTTATACAACTAACCACGGATGTCAATGGTGTATTTCCAACCCCAACCCTCTTAGTGTGTTACGTCCTCCTGCATATTACCAGCCAAACACATACTCCATTGCTTTGGATACAATACTTTCAACTTTCCTAGGAGTCTGTCTGTCAGAAACCACCTAGAAGGAAGGGATAAAGAGGAAGAGAGAAAATAAAGAGTATCAGTAAACATACAGTTTTTGTTTTTTTTTTTCTCTCTTGAAGTGCTACTATATGTTGACAAAATATGTCTAAATGATTTGCAAAACAAGCCTTTAGATTCTGGAAGCACGGCATCAATTATTGTCATTAATTTATTGTTTACTATTACTTTTTAGACTGACCAGAGTGAGTTTGTACTTGAGGCACATCTTTAAGGCCATGAGAGGAGGAGAAGATCCCGGCCAAGCTCACACTGAGGTTCCTGTGCGTACAGCCTCACACAGCTCAGAGGAGACAGCACAAACACACACACGCTTCCCTCTCCCTTCCATTACCTGACAGTCACTGGCGGAAGCTTTATATGCTGTTGCAAGAGGTCTCATTGCAGAAATCCTTGTTGTATAATTTGCAGGCTGTACTGGTGTGCCGGTGAAGGACTGTGTAGGTGAAGTAAAAATTGACGACATTGAGGATGTAGAGCTTCTTTCATAGTTTTCCATCACGCTCTTAAAATGAGAGATAATATAATGTCAACAGATAGTAAAAAGCACTATTTCAACCTTTCTTATCTAGCATTATTACATAGAATGATCTACCCAGGGTCCAATTAGCTCGAAATACAGCTATCCCTGCCCCAACCACTACTGAAAGGAAAGGAACGTGGTTTGGGGGAGGCAGGGTGTCTTGCTCACAAACTCCCAGTCAAATGGACCAGGAGAAACAGAAAAGCCAGAATCCCACGAAGAGAAGGACACAGAAAGAGGAATGAAGGACAAATAGGAGCAAGAACAGTCTTCATCTGCCACCACACATCTACAACAGCCCCTAGATGCCACCAGTTCCAGAGTTCCAGAGACTCTTTGAGCTCAAGTGTCTCCTCTCTTGTGGTTTCCCTTCCCATCTGGCACAGCAACACAACCCTGTGCACTAGCACTTCCCAGCAGCACAGAGGGTTCCACGCGTGACCCTTCTCAGCAGGAAGCCGTGTCCAACACTTCAGAAAAACTCATGGCAGGTGCAGGAGACTCCACCTACTGAACTTCACTTCCCAGGCTTTGCAGTTCAAAAAGGAAAAGAATCAAAGACCTCAAGGCAAATAAAGAGGAAGCCCAAAAGCAGAGCACCTTCTGCTCAAATAGAAGCAGCTGTTAACTTACTTTATCTATGCATGGCTTGACACCAATCATGATAGATTCACCAAAAATTCTTCCATCTTTGCTCAGGGCTTTCCGGGCTTGCAGCTTAGACTGATACCGAATGTGCATCCAGTTTCCCGTGTTGGACATCTAGATGAGATTAAGGCACAATTGTGACATTCAGCCTTTTAAAGAAGGAACCAGAACATATCAAGAAATTAATCCCAAACTCAGACATACCACATGCTTTAATATGTTTCCATACTGAGCAAACTGTAGAAGAATGTAAGACGCTGATGCTTGAGGGAATCTAAAAGATGGAAAAAAAATACAAAGAAAATGCTGGGTGAATTCCGTTGCTGAAACAGAACCCTACAAAGGTTTTTTAGAAATCCAAAAGAGACCAGGGTGTTCATGCCCTTTTAGAAGCAGCAACTTGAGGAATAGTCTCTTCTGGGCTTTTTCACTCCACCACACCTCAGGGGTGGAAGCTGCCTTCCTAACCTGACAAAAATAACAGGCAGCTTAAGGTCAGGGGCTTCGCTAACAGAGGTGCATTTGCTGGCTTTAACCACAGCTGGATTTGCGGCAGAACCCAGGAATGCCAGACAACAGCAACGGCCAAGAACCTCTTCCCACACGCTGCCACCATTGCACCCCTGATTTTTCCAATTACCCAAATACTGTTACCCATGTGCCATCAAGCTGATCCTCTGAAGTTAGGGAATCACCCTGAGTATAAAAAGGATCTAGCTGCGCAGGAGAGAGGGTCGTCTTCCTAGGCTGCCCAACACTTGCAGGACTGAGCATACTTGGAGCTGTTAAATTGAAACAGCATCTTTAACAAATGACTTTTGCCAGGCAGACAAGCTCAGGAGCCTGAACTGAAAGAATCAAGTCAGTCTCAAGCACTTCACTTGCTTATGGAAGAGCTTGGGAGAGAAGATACAGAAGATAGGAAACACTACGAAGATGGAAGGAGACCCATCCATCTCAGGGGCTTCACTCAAGTGCAGCCACCTCTGCACTCAGTTGACATTTTGAAGAGGGAGTAAGTAAAGCTGATGGCAGTTCAGTCAGAGTGGAAAAGTATTTCACATCCAAATCCCTTTTGAGAAGTTAGTAAAGAAACACACAACTCCTTCCTAAATTTGCAAGGAGTTGGTGCAGCTTCAAGTGTCATTATTTTTGTCCATTAAGCAAAGCAGTAAAAAAGTCAATTATCTGTATCTGGACAGGATATCTACCTGGTCCAGGAGTTGATGGCATTGTTCCAACCAACGGGCTCTGGGCTACAGAAAAGCTGGCCTGTATGAAAACACAGAAAGCATAACAAATCATTCTCACAGGTACACTTCTCAGATCAGCAGAGATCATTTCCAAGAAACTTACGCAACAGGCAAGACTGCTCAGCCTTACAAGGTCTAAAAGAAGAAAGCTCAGTTACCCTTAAGGTGAGCTTTAGGAAATAGGATGCGAAAAATCTCCAACAACAATCCCCATGTTACATAACACATATTTGCACCCTTCAGTCCATCAGCAGCCCAACACATGAAGGTGCAAAGCTGGGACAGGTCTGCATTTGTCATGGCACAGCATGACACAGCAGAGGCAGGATTTGCATTGGTCATTCTCTACAGTACCAAAACTCCAAGAGGAGACAAAACTGCAGCTTGCATTCAAGCCACACAGGAACAGGCACACCAGGCCACCAGACTAAGCCACAGCACCAGCTGAAGACTCACTGGGCATTTTGCTACAACACTTGACAAAAACAAGTTAAAAGAATTCTCTGAAGCACTAAACTATCTCACATTTTCTGCCAATAACAAGCCAGTATCTAAGCCACTTACTGATACTCTTGAGCTTAGAGGGGTTGAGCCAAGTCCAGGACTAGATAATTCATCATACAGGCTTCTAACAGGTGGAGCACCACTTTTATCTTTATGCGTAGGGACTACTGGTTGTGGGGGAGATCCTCCTGAAATGAAAAGGAACAAAGGCCTGAGAAGTCTTGGAGTTTTACTCCACTGCTACACATTCTTCGAACTTCAACAGGAAATTCGTCCGGGAAAGATTCTTTCACTGGGATTTTACAAAACCATCTGGCCCACCAAACTCTTCAGGTTGGCATGTTCTAGGGAAGAATTTCACACCCGTGTCACAACCTGCTGCCTGACACAAGTGTCATCTCAAACTTTCAGACCTCTTAGTAACCCAGTCGAGTCACTGTCACACCCACTTGATCTTTTCCAGAAGTTCCCAGCACAGCTACATCTTCCTGCCTTAAGGCAGGTTGGTGCTGGATTTTCATGGTTTCAGAGACTAGCTCCCCTCTAGCCAAGAAGCCAAAGCCAGGCTTTTAAGACTCAAGACATTCTACATGCTAAAGAACCCTTCCACAGTGCACACAGACGCTGCACAGGCTGCCACATTCCCTCTCTCCAAATGCCTTCCCTCCCCAGGTCATTTTGTACTGAAGTAAAATGGAAGCTCTTGAGAGCAGGGATGAGCTTGCATTTAGACAGGAGGAAGGTCAGGCAGCTGCTCTCCTGTTTGGTAAACTTTGGGACTTCCAGCAGAACAGAGAATTAGACTGACTGGAAAACCTTGACGTATCTCTGAACACTTTCCCTGGGTTCACCCCAAGGGAAAAAAAACCCCACACAAATAAAAAACAAACACAAAAAGCCTCTAAACACACACAAGAGGGCTACAGCAGATTCTACAAAGCCCCCTCCTCCCAGCAAGTTTTCAGTTCCAGGGACATAATTAACCACGCCTCTGGGGAGGCCTGTGTTAGAATCTGACTGCTCCCCCTTCTCTGGAGTTGAGACTCTGAGCTTGGAATAAACCCCTTTGCAGTCAGGTGAAATTCACATGATTATTGTCAATTTCATAAGTAATTTCCTAAGCCACTTGTATTTGGGAGGGATGGAGAAGAGACCAATTCTGACCTGCCAGTAGTGGAGACCTCATTTCCATTACACCAACTGCAGGGCCGCTTAAAGCACGTGTTTGTGGGGTCACAGGTGCAGGTAAATCCCCCATCAAGAATCCAGGAAGAAACTGAGCACTAGCTCCTGGTTTTGGAGATGTTGGGGAACCAAGAGTCATGGGCTCAGCTCCTGCATTAATGAAAAAAAAAAAAGAAAACAGTTTAAAAACAGGGAAGAGATGAGCTTGTCCATGGTTTAAATGGTCGTTCTAGGAAAGAAACATAAAACAATATACAGTAAGAGACCAACATGGTTCTTATAAATTTCTAAGCAAGTAAAGTCTGTCACCATCCCGCAGTTTTTCTGCGGCTGCAACACCTACCACGCTGAGACGTTATGGTTAAAATACACTTCTTTGGTTCATGCTGGATTGCTGGTTTTGAGGATAATTACGGGGTCTGGGTGGGTTTGAAGGTTGGAAAGGTGGAAAGATCACGCCGAGGCTAGATCCTCCTCCCCCGCCAGAGGGGCCGGTTCCGCGCCCCAGCCCGGGGAAGGCGCTTCCAGAGAGCACCGCGGCCTCACGCCGGTCCCTTGGCGGCTTCCCCGCAGCCCTGCCGCCACCGCCGGCCTGCCGCCGCCTCCCATCGCCCCGCTCCAGCCCGGCGGCCTTTCCACCAAGGCCTTCCCCCGGCCTGGAGCGACCCACAACCCCCTACGCTCAGAGGCGCCACGGCGGGTCCCCCTTTTTACCTGCGGGCGCCGGCTCCGCGGCGAAGGCGGCCATCTCGGGAGCTCCGCCGGGCGCTTTCAAACGGGACGGAACTTCCGTCCCGACGTTTCTTCCGTCCCGCCCTCCGCGCCGCCCGGAGCTGACGAAGCAGCGGGGAAGGCCGCGGCCTACCCCGTTCTTGGAGCCACACCTTTTCACATCCCTCTCGCACAAAGTGTTACCCGAAGGCAGCTGCTCTCACTTTATTGCATATTTAACATATCAGAACTCTTTAGAACCGGCGCGGAGGCCAAAATCAAAACCCCCGCCGGCTTGTTTTCCTGAGCTGGAAAACATCAGGGTGATGGCGCCTCAAGCCCCTCGGCGCTGAGAAACTGACAACTTAAAGCATCCTACACACACCCTGAGTGTCCTCAAAACTCCTCTGGTTTAATTTCCAAAAATATTTAACGCCGGCCAGCCCACAAAATTCCACAAAATCCTCGTTGTTGCAAATATAAATTTAAAAACCGCTATGAAGGTACTTTATTGCACGAACATTATCTAGGTTTTTGTATCTAACTAGAACGCATAATTTGGTTTAGTATTAAACAGGGCAACATCTCCAGTATTTTATTTCCTTACTCTAGTGCCTGCATTTTCTGATGCTTCAATAAAGAACATAATTCTGGTTTTTTTTCCCTAATATTTCAAGGAAAAGTGAACTTTTATCTTTTTATTAGCACTCTAGAAAGAGCTTGTTCTTGGGCAAAATCATCTCTGAACGCCGTGGAATACCATTCGGCATTTATATATGCTAAGTGCTGAAAAAAAGAGGGGGGTTGAAGGTGGGGCACAGGAAAAAAGTGTAGAGAAAAACTTTAAAATGCACGTGTGAAAGGGGACTGCAAGATGACAGGTTAAAAGTACATCCAACATCTGTTACTGTAGAGTCAAAACGGATCGTTTCAATTCTCCCTTTTGATCAGTCGTGGTCATTTATGCTTCCATTTGCTTTTATGTTCTGTTCTTGGTACTTGTGAAGCTGCTCCATGAAGCCGGGATTTGGACAAGCTGCAGGCCTTGCCTTTTTCACCAAGGAGAAGGCTCTAGCAAAACTCAGTCTTTCTGAATTCATTAGAAATCCGATGACTATGGCCGCTGCACGAGAGACTCCTGCGTTACAGTGGACCAGCACCACACCATCCTTCAAGAAAAAAATTAAACATTAGTTGGCATATTCATTAAGTAGTAATAGGTACTATAAACTTTACATAAAATCTGTTAGGATTAAAAGCTCCTCGCTGAGCTGAAAGTTAAATATTTACACATATAAGTAACTCCAAACACAGAGTCCCAAATTAAATATTTTTCTAACCAAAGCCATTTTATTACTACCAAATACTTCAAACCTAATTCATACCTTAGAACTTAAAAAAAACCATTCCTCCGTCTCTTTCCCCAAGACCTTGCAGCAGCCCCCTCCTGTAAAACCCACCATCACAGACACCCGGGACACTAATCTACCTGATCTAATTGGGTGCCGATCTAAAAATAAATTTATTTCCAGTATGGAGGGTGTCTTGTTACTAGGTTAAAAACATAGCAAGGGAGCAAACAGCCAGGCACAGCGGCAGATCTTAGAACACCTTGTAGTTTCAGTCACACGTTCCTTGCCTACCCCAGAGTTCTTGGGTGAAGAATCTGGGTAAGGAGGATCACACATGGGAACAGAAAAACCAGAAGAGATATCGTGTGATTTGTAACCAATCTCTACCTCCCCGCTACCCCCTTGGTCCAACTGTAGTGGTTGGTACAGCTGGTGCAACTAAGGTCGCGTAACCGGGGGACAGAGGAGCAAAATCCAATGCTACTGAACGTCCCATAAATTCACAAATACATCTCCTGGGGGTTTAAATTCAGGCTCATCCTGAAGGATAATTTTTTTTTATCCTACTTAAAAGACAACGAGACAGTCTAGCGTGGCTTAGGCAACGTTTGCAACACCCAGGCTTTGTGATCTTGTCATGTTTGTGCACCCAACTATGACCTGGAAAAGGCTCCGTCCAAGCTGAGCCACTTTCACCAAAAAAAAAATAAAACCCCAAATCCCTAGCATCTACATATTCTGAATAAACATACTGAAACATGACAGAGATTTGAGGCTAAAGAGATACATTCTAGACACAATCAGCCTGCTCTGTTTGCCCACAGCAAGCACAAATTATTCAATGAGCATTTTACCCAAAGGGAAAAAAAAAAAAAAAAGGCCTTGTAACCATGAGGGTTCCTTTCCAGGAAGGTTATGACTGAGGTTACAGATCTGGGAGTTGCAATTATCTGGTATGTTATTAAACATCCATAGCAGAAAACGGTTCCTGCTCCAAAAATCTTCCAGTTTAAATAAAAAGACAAAGAAGTATGAAATTGAGTGTTATTATCCTTAAAGAAATACGAAACTGACGCTAGAAGAATGAGTTGCTGAAGTTAACACAAGATTATGGCAGAGCTGAGAACTGCATCTAAGCTCCTGCACCCCGGCACAATGAATCGCAGTAACACCATTATTTATTTCTATTTTTTTTGGTGATGGAAATCACATCTCCTTCGCACTGTCTGCTGGAAAACGTCATCTTCACTCCCTTTCTCACATTCCCAGAGGCACGTTTCCTGATCACACAGACTACAGCAGAGCGCAAAGCAGACTATCCATTGTCCATCTGGAGTAGTTTTTACTGATTCAATGTGGGGGGGTGGTTTTCAGACATCATGTGCCATAATTGAGATTGCTATCTAGCAGTGGCACTGAGGGTAAAAAATAAGTATTGAAAGTAATAAATTTTTTTTCTTCGTACAGTTCATGCTTTATTTTCCTCCTTCACATTTCTTTTAAGGCTTTTTTGTTTGTTTTTTTAATGACTGTTCTGTTGTACATTGCCAAAAATTATACAGTGATGTCCATGGAACAAACCTGAAAATCACTGAACATGAATGAACAGGGGCAATTACATTAAATCCAATTTCATACTGGGAACATTTATCTTCCTTTGCTACACCCTGTCGTTTCTTTATACGAAGATGAATTTGCCATGCAATTCTTAACTAAATTTCTATTAGATGCGAATACAGAATAAAACTAAAAAAAAAAAACACCTGACTGTAGATATGAAATGAATCTTCATTTACTGAGCACTCCCTGCTACTATCATCATAGCCTAACCTTTGCCTACCCAGAAATGGTCCATGGTCTTGCAAGAACTTCTTAAGAATCACGACCAAGTTGTTTGGGTTTGTTTAATTTTTGTTTTATACAGGGAGAGAGAAACAAAACCTGCCTCCACCATGAGAAACAGTGATTATACAGTGGTTATACACAGTGGGGAAAAAAAAAAAAACCTTACTGAGGAAAGAACTGAAAAAGCCTAAAGCTTTTGGTGAAGAGCCATGGAGTAAGTGTAGCTCCTTAAGGATGCACTCTACTTTGCAGTAGTGCCAGGGCTTACTTTTTAGGAGGGAGAGAGGGAGCAGTAAGGAGAGATGGTTATGAATGAGCTAAGATTTCCTCCCAGAGCCTGGAAAGACAAGATTTTAGATGTTTTATGACTAGATATTAAACAGAAAGGTCAAAATATCCCCCGTTCACAGCACTATGATTTGACATGGGTCATCTAACACGTCGTGGAAAATCTGCCAGCTAACATGGAGCCTAGAAGAAAAAACATACCTGATCAGTATCAGAATTTGTACCATGGTGTCTGCAGACTTGAGAAGTTAACAGTTTTAGAAGAGCCAGTCCTGTTACAAGTACCAGCTGGCAGTGACTTACTGAACAGTGCAAGCTTTACTGTCAAATTTAAGCGCTCTCACACTCCTTCATCAAGTTAACCATGTTCTAGTTATAATTTCTCATAGATCATGCTCTCTCACCAGCAAACATCTCTCCCTCCCCTGCGTTAGGAGATGAAACAGTAATATCTCTTTGTGATCACTTATACAGGAGAACACTTCATGATACCATTTATCATAGGCTCTTTTAACACTACTTTGACAAAGCAAACACAGGGATTCAAACCACCCAGAGACCTGTCTCTGCGTACTACTATCACATGCTTCATGATCCTGGAGAAGACCTACTGCACCAATTACCTGGTCTTTTACCCAACTCTCCTGTTAGAAAACTGTTAATATTGCTGTAAAAGTTTTCAGGAAAACTCCTTAGCTCACGAAGTAGTAACTGGACCATAAACACCAGAGGCAGGAAGCAACACCATGCAGTTATGAATGGCAAGTCTCATTTAGAAATTAAGTGGAAACTGTAACTAGAAACCTTGAAAAGGTCATTAAGTGACAATGTGTATCACATAGCTCATAAATGATAAATGAGAGAAGGAAAGAACATTGTGTGACACAAAGACAGCTAGGGCAAGATTATCTTCTTTTATCCCAATCTGCATAAATAATGAATATGGTAGATATGGTGGAATAACATGCAGTAAAGGTTCATTTTTCAAGTCATAGTTTTGATACCAAAGCAAATGGTGGCCATAAATGACACAATAAGCTTCAATTTAACTAGTAGGAGTCACGGATGGTCTTGGTTACAGACAGGTCCACCAAGCAACCCCAGAAGGAGTCCCTTCACCCTATTTCCTACACCGTGTCTTTTTCAGGGTTTTGTTAGTAGTTAAAAATCACCGGTTGGCTCCAAGAGTAACACATTTTCTGACAGCCTTGGTACATAACAGTATGTGAATTCATAGCTCAGTGTGTTGCATCTTCAATACACGATGAAGGAAAAGCACAAGGATGGTGGGCAGCTGATGACAAAACACACAGATCTGTAAAAGGCTTTCTGCTAATCCAAAACAAGAACCCCAATAGATAAATTATAGAAAGTGAAGTTTTCCTCTGTTAGATGTAGTGACTTGGACTTACGACGGGATCATGATGGGTGAAGTCAACCACTGTTCCAACCCTAATAAAGAAGCATTTCTCTAAAACATGCAAGACAGTCATTCTAAAAAAAAAACCAAAACCAAAACCAACAACAACAACAACAAAAAAAAACCCAACAAACAAACAAACAAACAAAAAACAATAATAGAGGGAATGGGGCTTAACAATAGTGCCACATCTCTAGGAGTACCTAGAAACTGCTTGGATTTTCTACTTAAAATTAAAAAAGGCAATGGCAAAACTGTTTGGTACCATACTTTCTTTTGACAAGAAAAACTACTTTAGATTTTAAATAGGGTAATAAATAATTTAGACAGGATACTAGTAGCATTCATTATTTATATACTTTACCTGGGTCTTGGCTGTCTCAATAAACTCGAAACATTCTGGGAAATAGGAGGTAATATCAGTTTCTGGGAGATCCAGAATAGAAATAGTCTTGTATGTAAAGTCATCGAGGAAGGCATTTTGTACTCCATATGCCACATTTAGAACATGAGTAACCTAAGTAAAAAAAAAAGGGAAAGGAAAAAAAAAAGAAAAAGACATTTTCTGAAGACAGCAAGCAAGATCAGCAGTAGCAAAGGTGGATTATTCTTTAGGTATACACAGATTGTAACTAACACAACTGCATCGCTCAGTTTTACATACATACGCTGTCTATGGTGTGCTTTTCTCCAAGCAAAATTTTACGATGTTAAAATATATTGTGATAAACTTGAGTTTTCTTCCTTTAGAGAGGAAACGAGAAGATCTGTGCCCAACCAAACACAGACTAAATTAAGAATTTTCAACAGAAAAGGGAGCTGTCAGCGCACAGATGGACAATAAAAGAGAAAGCAATAGGAATGAGAGAACAGACCACCCAACAATCCCCCAAATTTCAAGCCTGCCCTAGCCCACCAGCTTAATGTTCCTCCTACTGAGTTACTGTTTACTGGAGCAGAAGGACTTCAGAGTAAACTATACCTGCACTTTGGCAGGTGAGACCACTGCTGGCCTCCTGCCACCTCTGCTCTGTTCAGGCTACGGCCAGGTTCTGGATCATTTTAACTCACAGCGAGGTGACATTTAGGTGGCACCAGATGCCAGACTGGTGCACTCCCTGTCCTGCAGAAGCACCACTGTCCGAAGGCCTTATCACCCCATTACTGTAACAGAGTAAAAAAGACCAAAGTTTGGGACAGACTTGGAGCTGATGCTTTGTTTTTCTTGCCTCGCTGACCCCTGTAAGGCAAGCCGGCCTGAGGCTGCCCAGTGCCTGAAACTGAAATGTCTACGGCAAAGTGGGAATCTGCCCATTCAACAGCTCTGAACAATCACTATCAGTCTGGCAGCAAATTATTCCAGCTTCTTGTGAAGCTCCCATCCATCCACCATCCATCCATCTGCAAATGCAGCAGCCCCTTAAACATGCAAATGTAATACAGTTTTTTTTAAGTTACTTGAGAACATTTCAGGCTTTCTCACTTAAAAAAAAAAAATAAAAATCCGCCAGCCAGCGCTGTGCCAGAGGCGTTTTGCTCTCCCTGCAACGTTACCTTATGCTTCCTCATGGTCTCCAGGTCGTGCGCCGCATCCTGCGACCCTGTGGGCAAAGCCACCTGGTTGGTGCTAAACCACCACCCCAGGGAAGCTCCTGGACCCCTTCCCCACTCCCCAGCTTGTTTTGCGGGATAAACCGTGGCTTTTTGGGCGGCAGGCCTCCCCATTTCCATCCCCATCCCTATCCCTATCCCCATCCCCATTCTCCATCTCCGTCCCCATCCTCATCTCCGTCCCCATCCCCATCTTCCCATCCTCATCCCCATTCTCCAACCCCATCCTCATCTCCCCATCCCCATTCTCCATCCTCATCTCCGTCCCTATCGCCATCTCCCCATCCCCGTTCTCCACCTCCGTCCCCATCTCCATCCTCTTCTCTATCCCCATTCTCCGTCCCCATCCCCATCTCCCCATTCCCATTCTCTGTCCCCATCCCCATTCTCCATCCTCATCTCCGTCCCTATCGCCATCTCCCCATCCCCGTTCTCCACCTCCGTCCCCATCTCCATCCTCTTCTCTATCCCCATTCTCCGTCCCCATCCCCATCTCCCCATTCCCATTCTCTGTCCCCATCCCCATTCTCCATCTCCGTCCCCATCCTCATCTCCGTCCCCATCCCTATTCTCCATCCCCATCCCCATTCTCCATCTCCGTCCCCATCCTCATCTCCGTCCCCATCCCTATTCTCCATCCCCATCCCCATTCTCCATCTCCGTCCCCATCCTCATCTCCGTCCCCATCCCTATTCTCCATCCCCATCCCCATTCTCCATCTCCGTCCCCATCCTCATCTCCGTCCCCATCCCTATTCTCCATCCCCATCCCCATTCTCCATCTCCGTCCCCATCCTCATCTCCGTCCCCATCCCTATTCTCCATCCCCATCCCCATTCTCCATCTCCGTCCCCATCCTCATCTCCGTCCCCATCCCTATTCTCCATCCCCATCCCCATTCTCCATCTCCGTCCCCATCCTCATCTCCGTCCCCATCCCTATTCTCCATCCCCATCCCCATTCTCCATCTCCGTCCCCATCCTCATCTCCGTCCCCATCCCTATTCTCCATCCCCATCCCCATTCTCCATCTCCGTCCCCATCCTCATCTCCGTCCCCATCCCTATTCTCCATCCCCATCCCCATTCTCCATCTCCGTCCCCATCCTCATCTCCGTCCCCATCCCTATTCTCCATCCCCATCCCCATTCTCCATCTCCGTCCCCATCCTCATCTCCGTCCCCATCCCTATTCTCCATCCCCATCCCCATTCTCCATCTCCGTCCCCATCCTCATCTCCGTCCCCATCCCTATTCTCCATCCCCATCCCCATTCTCCATCTCCGTCCCCATCCTCATCTCCGTCCCCATCCCTATTCTCCATCCCCATCCCCATTCTCCATCTCCGTCCCCATCCTCATCTCCGTCCCCATCCCTATTCTCCATCCCCATCCCCATTCTCCATCTCCGTCCCCATCCTCATCTCCGTCCCCATCCCTATTCTCCATCCCCATCCCCATTCTCCATCTCCGTCCCCATCCTCATCTCCGTCCCCATCCCTATTCTCCATCCCCATCCCCATTCTCCATCTCCGTCCCCATCCTCATCTCCGTCCCCATCCCTATTCTCCATCCCCATCCCCATTCTCCATCTCCGTCCCCATCCTCATCTCCGTCCCCATCCCTATTCTCCATCCCCATCCCCATTCTCCATCTCCGTCCCCATCCTCATCTCCGTCCCCATCCCTATTCTCCATCCCCATCCCCATTCTCCATCTCCGTCCCCATCCTCATCTCCGTCCCCATCCCTATTCTCCATCCCCATCCCCATTCTCCATCTCCGTCCCCATCCTCATCTCCGTCCCCATCCCTATTCTCCATCCCCATCCCCATTCTCCATCTCCGTCCCCATCCTCATCTCCGTCCCCATCCCTATTCTCCATCCCCATCCCCATTCTCCATCTCCGTCCCCATCCTCATCTCCGTCCCCATCCCTATTCTCCATCCCCATCCCCATTCTCCATCTCCGTCCCCATCCTCATCTCCGTCCCCATCCCTATTCTCCATCCCCATCCCCATTCTCCATCTCCGTCCCCATCCTCATCTCCGTCCCCATCCCTATTCTCCATCCCCATCCCCATTCTCCATCTCCGTCCCCATCCTCATCTCCGTCCCCATCCCTATTCTCCATCCCCATCCCCATTCTCCATCTCCGTCCCCATCCTCATCTCCGTCCCCATCCCTATTCTCCATCCCCATCCCCATTCTCCATCTCCGTCCCCATCCTCATCTCCGTCCCCATCCCTATTCTCCATCCCCATCCCCATTCTCCATCTCCGTCCCCATCCTCATCTCCGTCCCCATCCCTATTCTCCATCCCCATCCCCATTCTCCATCTCCGTCCCCATCCTCATCTCCGTCCCCATCCCTATTCTCCATCCCCATCCCCATTCTCCATCTCCGTCCCCATCCTCATCTCCGTCCCCATCCCTATTCTCCATCCCCATCCCCATTCTCCATCTCCGTCCCCATCCTCATCTCCGTCCCCATCCCTATTCTCCATCCCCATCCCCATTCTCCATCTCCGTCCCCATCCTCATCTCCGTCCCCATCCCTATTCTCCATCCCCATCCCCATTCTCCATCTCCGTCCCCATCCTCATCTCCGTCCCCATCCCTATTCTCCATCCCCATCCCCATTCTCCATCTCCGTCCCCATCCTCATCTCCGTCCCCATCCCTATTCTCCATCCCCATCCCCATTCTCCATCTCCGTCCCCATCCTCATCTCCGTCCCCATCCCTATTCTCCATCCCCATCCCCATTCTCCATCTCCGTCCCCATCCTCATCTCCGTCCCCATCCCTATTCTCCATCCCCATCCCCATTCTCCATCTCCGTCCCCATCCTCATCTCCGTCCCCATCCCTATTCTCCATCCCCATCCCCATTCTCCATCTCCGTCCCCATCCTCATCTCCGTCCCCATCCCTATTCTCCATCCCCATCCCCATTCTCCATCTCCGTCCCCATCCTCATCTCCGTCCCCATCCCTATTCTCCATCCCCATCCCCATTCTCCATCTCCGTCCCCATCCTCATCTCCGTCCCCATCCCTATTCTCCATCCCCATCCCCATTCTCCATCTCCGTCCCCATCCTCATCTCCGTCCCCATCCCTATTCTCCATCCCCATCCCCATTCTCCATCTCCGTCCCCATCCTCATCTCCGTCCCCATCCCCATCTTCCCATCCTCATCCCCATTCTCCAACCCCATCCTCATCTCCCCATCCCCATTCTCCATCCTCATCTCCGTCCCTATCGCCATCTCCCCATCCCCGTTCTCCACCTCCGTCCCCATCTCCATCCTCTTCTCTATCCCCATTCTCCGTCCCCATCCCCATCTCCCCATTCCCATTCTCTGTCCCCATCCCCATTCTCCATCCTCATCTCCATCCCCATCCCCATCCTCATCTCCGTCCCCATCCCCATTCTCCATCCCCATCCTCATTCTCATCTCCGTCCCCGTCCCCATCCCCATCCCCATTCTCCATCCTCATCTCCGTCCCCATCCCC